AAAAAAACCCGCCCCAGGGCTGGCTGTGGGGTGAAGGGGGCTGGGACCCCTTCCCGATGGCCCCCCAGCACAGCGCGCTTGGGGCGCGATCTTGTCTGCCCGCCGCCGTCACGCTGATAGGGAGCAGCCGGCACGGAAACAGCATTATCTGCCACCAGCGCCGGCCCGGCAGTCCCCGTCCCCCCATGGGAAGTCCCAGCCGGGGATGGCTGTGGGACCTGGGGTCTGGAGGCACTGCTCTTCCTTGCTCTCCTTTTCCCTGCACACCCACCCATTGGGGCCTGCCAGCCCTCCCCGAGGAGGGACACAGAGGGGCCGGGCTGCCCAGGGACACGGGAGCGTGACGGCTGGGCACGCTGCCTGCTTGCCTGCCCAGAGCAGGCTGCTCCGCAGCCCACAATGGAGGGGCAATTACATCTCCTGGCACGGCGGCGTGGGGCCGCTGTGCTGCCTGCATCCCGGCCGAGGGTCCCCAGTCCCCCCCACCCTGCCCCATGGCCGGAGGAGGTGGTGGGATGGCATCCTGACTGCATCCCGGCTGCATCCCAGCTGCATCCCGGCCACCAGTGCCTCCCTGCAGTTGCTTGCCCAAGGTGTCCGTGTCCCAGTGAGCCGGCAATCGGGATGGTTCCCTCCACCCTCCCCGGCGGTGCAGACAGACAGACAGCCCCATCGGAGCACGCTGCTCCTTGGCGTGGCCGCACCATTGTTTCAGAGCCGAGGAACAAGCCACACGGCGCCCTGTGCTGCCTGCGCTGCCTGCACGGCGACACCTGCCAGAGGCCATCCTCTGCCCGGCCCAAGGAGGGGAGCGGCGGCGGGGAAGGGGAGAGGGATGCTTTTGTGCATCTCTTTTCAACAACAGCTCACGGCTCACATTCAGCCACGGCTCTTGTCTGGATGCGGCCGCCGATGCCCTCCACCTCCCCCTGGGGAGCAGGCAGCGTGGGGAAGCATCCAGCCACTAGAAGCCCCCCTAGGAAGGAGGAATCCCCTTCGCTCCCTCCCACCTCTTACCCTATTTTTGGAGCTTCAGGGATAATCCCAGGTTTGTTTTCTGCTCCCCAAGGGGGACCCTGGGTGGGACTGCGGGTTTCAGGGTGAGCAAGGCTGTGCAGGGTCAGGGTAGCTCTGACCCTGGAGCACGTGTTTAGGGCACATGTTTAGGGCTGGCTGAGCTTTTGGTTGAACGGGAGCCATAAAAATGTCATCCCTGTCTTCCCCGCCTCAAACCCGGTGGCTGACAGCTCTGCCATGGCCCCACTGGAGAGATTTCTCCCTGAAATGCCGCTTGCGCGGGACAATTCCAGCGGAAACCTGTTGCCCAAGGCTCAAACTTGGGAGGAAAACCCACATTCCTGGTGGGGTGGAGGAGGCTGTGATCTGTGCTGGGCTTTCCGGGTGGAGGCGAGTGGATGCTCTCCCTGACGGCTGCTTCCTGAGGAACCGACTCGCAGGCAGCTGGCAGCACCGGCAGCCGAGTCAGCAGGCAGCGGGGTGCTGCGGCTGCAGCGTGCCGGCCCTCCCGGCCTTCCTGCTGCCCCAGCAACCCAGCCGTGTCCGGGAAGAGCATCCGAGGGACGGGGACAAGCCATGGGGGGCTGTGCACAGGGTGGAGGGCACCCTGGCCCTCGCCAACCCCCCCGTCCTAGGGCTTGGCAGGGGGAAGGAAACGCCACAGAGCTGGGAAGGGGCTCGGCATCCGTCAGCGTGGCTCACCTCGGGGGTGGCAACGGGCAGGGGGAAGCAGCGGCCAGGCGCTGAGGATGCGTCCCCTGCTCTGACGCACGGCATCTGCTCCCGTCACCCTCCCCATGGACCCTCTACAGTGCCCCTGGCTCAGGGTTGTCTTGGCTGGACTCGGAGCAAGCTGCTCTTATCTCTGCCCCAGCTTCCCGGTGATAAGGGTGGCATGTCTGGAGGTTAATGGGCCTGACTGTCCCCCCCACCATCCCCGGCTCTAGCTGTTGCTGTTATTTGTCACCAAGCAGCCACAGCCACAATTCAGCCCAGTCTCTGCAAGCAGCCCCCCAGCCCCTCTGGTGCCCGGGGCTGGCACCCACAATGCCAGGCAGGAGCCCACCTCCCGCAGACAGGGCCCGGGGAGGAGTTGCATGGCTGAACAGGGCACTGCCTGCAGCGAGGAGATGGGGCACTGCCTGCAGCGAGGAGATGCACGGAGGCTGTCAGGAGCTGCGGGGACGGAGAGCTGTGGTGGGATGCAGGTGTCCCTAGGCCATTCGTGCCAACCTCAGGGGTCCCTGCCCGGTGTGGCAGAAGACTCTAGAGAAGAGCAAAGCTCCCCTGTCCTGTTCACCCCAGTGCTCCGTCCCTACCAGGGACCCCGTCCTCTACGCAGGGGGATCCTGCTCCAGCAGCATCTGTCCCCCTGCCCTGCCCAGGGGGGCTCTGCTGGGAGCATCCCTGCAGACAGCCCCGGCAAAACCCACAGCTCTCTCCAGCCCTGGGAGCGCACTGGGGTGTAAGAGCCAGTTTTGCTCCAAGCTGGGGGATTTGCTCCAGGATCAAAGCCAAAGGAGGAGACGCAGGGCGTGGGGTGCTGATAGTGGCTTCCCCTCCCCAAGTCCCATCCCACTGCGCTTGGCCAGCTGCGCACAGGCTCCGGCAGCTGCGACGGGGCGGAGGCGGCAGGGAAGATGCACAAAGCCCTGGTACCCTGTTTTTTGGGCAGGGAAGGGAGCTAGGAGCGTCTGTGAAAGCAGGAGAGGTGTGGGGTCAGCACGGCAGCTGGCAGCACCCCAGGATGGAGGAGCTGGGGGGCTCAGAGGGGATCCTGGGGGATTGTCGGACCTGCCAGGCTTTGGGAGGTGGCTCTCGGGGAGGCACAGAGCAGCCAAGCTGACAGCCCCAAAGTTTCAGCTGGTTTTAATACTGTCAGAGACACCCCGGAGCGGGGCCGCCGCCGCCATCCCACCCGGGCTCCCTTGACGCTTGCCAAAGCGAACCCACTGCCGGCCCGGCCCCACGGCTGCTTTGCATCCCAGCAGGCGGGGGAAGCATCGCCGCCAGCGCCGCTGCCTGGACACCCTGCCCGCACTCCCGCTTGCCGGTGCCGGGTCTCGCTCGTCTCCTACTGCTAATCCCGAGGGCTCGAGCATTGCAAGAGGCTCCCCTCCACCCCACGGAAAGGGAAAAAATCAGGTTACAAAAGGGTCATGGCACAGCTCTCTGCCTACTGCATTTGGGTGGTTTAACCACCACCTTTCCCATCTTTTCTCAAACCACCTCTCCCCCACTACCAGATTGCAGCCGCCCTGGTCACCACTTGGCTCTGGGGACAAGGGACTTTCAGGCACCCCAAACTGCGGTAAGGTGGGAACGGTGACAATGCCAAGACTTGGAGGACACTGGAGCCAGCACCCCGGGAAGGGGAATGGGCAGCGCCTGCCAAAACACCAGCCGCAGCGCCTGCCGGGAGCACCCAGCGGGTAGAGCCACCGGCAATGGGGACCCGGTGCCTCTTGATAGGAGCCGTCTCATCACTCCCCTCACACTATGCGGTGCTGACATCGCAGGCAAGAAGACCCAGGGCCTGGCAAAACGGGCAGGGGACAACAGCCAAGTAAGCTTTTCGGAGTCCCTGCTTGCCGCTGTGCAGGGAGCAGGAGGGACGTTGGAGGCTGAGAGCCCGGGGTGCCAGCCCTAAGCCCCCCAAAACTGCTGAGTCCTGAGCCCCAGTGCAGGCAGGGAACTGCTGCTGGCTGTAGCCTCTCTGCTGGAAGCAGAAGCGAAAAGGGGGAGAAAATTTGTCTCCAGGCTCAGCTGGGAGGATGCAGCCAAGCCCTGGTTGCAGGACAGGGTCCCCCAGCAAAGCCCCATTTGCAGGATGGGGTCCCCCAAGGAAGCCCCAGTTGCAGGAGAGGGTCCCCCAGCCAAGCTCCGGTTGCAGGAGGGGGTCTCATCCCTGGCTAGTGGGGTTAAAGGGCAGGAACCATCCCCACATCCCACCTGCAAGGGCCCCATAAAGTGCAGTGCTGCGGCCCCGGCACCAACACGGGGCAGGGGAGCCCTCCTGGCCGCCTCCCAAGTTTGGGGACATGAAGAGGGGGGTGTGAGGTCGGAGCAGGAGTGGGCAGGGGCGGGCAGGGCGAGGGCTGGGCGGTGGGGAAGAGCAGCCCCGTCCTTCCTCCCTAGACGCCTACTCGTCGCAGCCCAGCAGCTCCACACGCAGGGTGATGCGGTTGTGCCAGGCCACGGGCAGGATGCGGATGAAGCGGGCATAGAAGGGCACGTCGAACACGTTCTTCTTATGGGAGTAGTTGTCGCTGTTACCGTGGAAGATCTAGGGGGGGGAAAGGTGGGTGTCAGCACCGCCAAGATCTCACCGCCACCATCCCATCCCTCCCCACAGCGGCATCCCCGAGTCCTAGGACGTCGCTGCCCACCTTGCCCTGCCCCACACACCTTGGTGCTGTTTGTCTGGCCATCCCGGTAGAGGGTCCAGGACGTGCCGTTGTCGCTGTAGGCCACCTTGTAGGCTGCCACGTATTGGATGTGCCCGAAGTCGCGGGCTCCTTGCGTGATGATGCCCGTCACCTTCTTCTGGTCGCGGAGGTCGATCTGGCACAGAGACAAGGCTCGTCGAGGCTCCTCGCAGGAGCGGTGCTCCCACCCCAGAGCATCCTGCGTGTCCCGGAGGCAGCCGGGATGTGCTGGCCCTCGGGGGTCAAGAATGGAGAAAACACCACTCGACCCCCGCCCCAATGCCAGAGTGACTAATAAAACACTACTGTGAAATATTTGACCCTTTAACACTTCCAGCATCCCTCAAAGCAACCCAAAGCGGGACGCAAACCCCACCGTCTCAGCTCCCTTCCCCACCGCTGCCACCTCGACATTTTTTGCTGAAAAGGTCAATGTGGGAATGACAGCAAAAAACCTCAATTAAAAAAAAATAAAGGATTCCCGGAGAAAATGCATTTCCACTGGAAAGTGATTCTGGCTGAGAAAATACGCAGTTCAGCGCAGTCTGACATTCGGGTGGTAAGTGAGATGGTTTCTGTTCTCTTTACTCTGCCACACTGCGCTACTGCTGCTGGCACGCTGAGGGGTAACCCAGCAAATGAGCTGCAAGTCTCCTTAATTTCGTTCCTATTTTATGCTCTTCAAGGGCAGTACTAGCTATACGCATACACGTATATGTGTGTATATACGAGTATACCTGTAAATCTATATACACGTACACAAACAGGCAGCCTGCGGTGTGACAGCCCAACTCAGCATGTCATCCCAACCCCATCAGCAGCCGTCTTGATAAGCTGTTTTATTTAGGGCCATGGAGCAGCTGCTTTTAATCATTTCCCAAATAAAAAGTGGCACAAATATCTAAACTGCTTTGTCCCATTATGTCATGAAATCATGTGAAAAGTATAAAAACAGGGGAGGAAAGGAAACTGAGAAGGAAATTTCAAAACTATTTGCTCCCATTCCAGACTGGGAAGAGAAAAGCAAACCTGATTTTTTCCCGCAAAACAGAAACGCAGTGTTCCGGGCAGCCAGAGGGTCGTGGGACGGTCACCTCAGGCTGGGATGGCGCTTCCCAAGGGAGTGATGCAGAGCTGGGGTGCTGCGGGCTCAGTGCACCCCACAAGAAGGTCTGCGGAGACGGCACCACCCTGTCCCTGTCCCTACAGGCGCTGATGTTTCTGACCCAGCGCTCCAGCATCGCTGCTAAAACCAGTGGCTGCGGCCCCGTCCTGACCTGCCCATGAGATCCCAGCTCGGGGAAAGCACTGCCGGGCTGTGTGCCCCATGGCAAGGCTCCAGCTGCACCGTCCCGGTGGCTCTGCCCGGCCTCTCCCGCTGTGCCCGTCCTGCTTCCAGCCGCCCCGGCACAGGAGGTGGCCCCAAGCACAGGAGGTGGCCCCGGGCAGAGCTGGAGGAGCCGGGGAGGAGAAATCGGGTTGCAGAGGGAGGGCACCGAGACCCACCTGCAGCCACTCGGACTGGCCGTTGTGGAGTGCTGTCCAGGCGTTGGTTTTGCCCGTCTTGTCCAGGCGAGCATAATGGGGGTGCCAGGTAAAGGCATCGATGCCCCAGGTCTTGAACATGCTGGAGGCTGTGATCTGCTGGTCGGAGATCAGGCGGGATTTCATGCCCAGAGGCTCCGAGCAACCTGCCGTGTTGAAATACACTGTAACACAACGGTTTATACAGGCGGTGAAAAGGAAAGAGTGCACGGCACCGTCGCAAGCAAAACCCCGCAGCCCCGGCAGGTGCCATCCCCACGTTCCCACGTTTCTACTGCCCGGAGAGGCAGGCAGGATCAGGCAGGGAAAGGCTCGGCAGAGGCGCACGGTCGCAGCCGGCTCGCCCTTTCCCGGGATTTTTAGCTCCCAGCTATTCCCTGACTCACAGTGCCTCCTGCTGCAGGGACGCACGGTCGTCCCCGCGTCACGGCACGGCCCTGGAATACAGACGGCTTCGGCAGGAGGCAGAGGAGGATGTTTTCACAGGTGAAGAGAGCAATGCAAAGACATCCCCAGCCGAAAGCATGGCTGGCACCACACCCACGCAGTGGCAGGACATGACCCAAGCCCCCACGGCACCCCACTCCCACCCCGGCACACGGGTGCCGCTTGGCTGCCGGGGATGTGCCGCAGGGCAGGAATGCGGGAGGCACAGGGAAAGGGCTCAGGCTAATCATCCCTCACGTTTCCCAGAGGACTTTGATCCTCCGGTGCTTTTCAAGCTCTCCGGCAGGAAAAGCAGCCAGTTCACAGCTCAGACGGGGAGGGGGCCCAATAAAAAACCCCAGCTTGGGAAGGTGTTAGCAGCATGAGAATGCAGCTTGAGCCCGGCTGAGCTTGTGGGATTAACGGCTTGTTCTCCCCAAAAGCACCCGTGGGTATTTCCAGGCATCACGTAGCCGGCGTGAGAAAAACAAACGCTCACAAATTCCCTGTCCCAGAGGATCAGAACCGGTAGAAGGGGTGACGCCCTGCCCCATGTCACCCCCTGCCCTGCGGTCCCTGGGGAGGGGAGAGCCACCGACATTTACCGTTCATCTCGCAGCCGATGAGTTCAAAGCGCAGCGTGCAGGCGCGGCGGCACGTCACAGGGTAGATGCGGATGAACTGGGCGGTGATGGGAGGGTTGAACATGTTGGTCTGCATGGTGCCGTAGTCCACGTTCCCCTGGAAAACCTGCAACGGCAAGCAGGGCTGAGTGCCCCAGCTCTCCCGCAGCCTCGTGCATAAAATCGCTCCCACCACGGCAACGCTCCCCAAATTGTGACAAGCAGAGAGGTGGCTTGCTTCTTTCTTTTTAACACAATAAATACAGTCAGGTCATGTTTTCATGCATTTTTTCCACCGCTGCAGAAACAAGAGAAACTTTTCTTTTTTTTAAAGCAAGGCAGATATTCCCAGCCATTCACTGGATGCTCAAAAAACAAGCACAAGACACTTGCCATAACAAGGTGAGAGTGGAGAGTGCTGCATTCAGTGACTATTCCTGCTTCGAGAGTGAGATACACTGTCGGCTCATGCTCAGTACAGACACAGCACTGAGCTGCATAAGCCGTTCGCTAGCACTTCCAGATCATGCCTGGTTCCCACAGTGTGTCAGCAATAAAGATGTTATCTGAATGACCTAAATAAGTCAGCGCTGCTTCTTTGGTTATGCTTATTATGGTCAATTAAACAGAGCCAGAGCGCTGCCCAGCGCTGGAACCATCTGTGCTGTCATGCTGCTACAACAGTTCCCCACGTGGCTTTGACCCAGGTCAACAGCACTTTCCCAAACATGCGGACAGTTTGGGATGCGGCTCACAGCCACCCCAGCGCCCGCAGCACCGCTGGGTGGGGGGAGCCGGCACAGCCCCTGAGTGGAGCATCGCTGCCCACCTTGTCTGTGTCCTGCTTCTCGTCCTTGCAGAAGGTGAACTGCCGTCCATCCAGGCTGTAGGCGACTTTGTAGGCGCGGACGTACTCCGGCTGGCCCACACGGCGAGCGCCTTGCGTGATGATCCCGCTCAGCCGCATCTTCCGCAGCAGGTTGGCCTGGGGAGGGGAGAAGAGCATGAGCTGGGCACAGCACGGATGGGGTGCACAGCCCCTGTGCCCACCAGCGCTACCAAGCCTGGATGGGAGGGTGGGCTCATGCTCAGCATCGGGACCAGTAGAGGGGCTGCCCAGGGCGCTGTGACTTCCTCGGGGCGAAAGCCCTCCATCCCAGGATCGCCATCCCAGGTCCCCATCTTCCCCCCAGCGACCTTGCCTTCTCCAGGCACATCACAAGATGCCCCTGGGTGGCACCTTGCTGCAGCAATTCAGTCCCGTATTTGCCACCAGGAGCAGAGAAATCCCATGAGAGCAGCCCTGCAAGACCAGCCGTGGCTACAAGGGCTGCCCGCTACGCCCATGCTCCCAGTCCTGCCGCAGGTACCTGGATCCAGGGGTTCTTGTCGTAGTTGCTGGAGGTCCAGGCGTTGACAATGCCATGGTTGTTGAGGCGGGCGAGCTCTGGCCCCCAGCGCTGGAGGCCGAGGAAGCCGTAGTGGACAGAAGATGCCGAGAGCTGGGCGTCAGAGATGGCTCCTCCTTCCATGCCCAGAAGAACGGCACAGCCTGGGGGCAGTGGGGACATCAGCACCAAAGAGAGTCAGTGACCCGGGAGCAAAACCGGGGAGTCATTTGCCTCTTGTCTGGGGACAGGGCAGGAGGTGGAGGCCAGCCCTAGGACCTGGCTGTCCCCAAGGTGTCCCCCCTCCTCAGTCTTCAGCCAAAACCGCACCATCCATCAGCCCCTCTCACAGCATGGAGGTTTGGGGGGGAAAGGGCTGCTCTGGGGCCACCCCTGAGAGGAGACAGCACCTTTCCGGGGATGCTCCTTCCATCACGACCAGGCCTGCTGGCATCAAGGGCAGCCAGCACACAGGCACCCACAGCTGCCCTCCAGATCCCCTGAACCAGCTGGTGAGATCCCTCCTGGGCACACTGACAATGGGGGACAGAGCAATGGGGAACAGGGAGGGAAAGGGAATTCTGTACAGTTGGTGCCAGGGACTTACGGACATGGCAGGTCTTCCCCAAGAACGGAGAAGGACACTTGCAGGCGTAGTCGCCGTCCAGGTCCAGGCAGGTGCCTCCATTTTTGCAAGGCTGGGAGTAGCACTCGTTCTTGCCTAGGAGACAGAGTGAGGGGCTCAGGCGGTGACCCCAGAGCCAGTCCCAGGGTGGAGACCCCTCATTCAGTGCAGCGGAAAGAGGGGGAGGCATCCCCTGAGCAAGGGCCATGGCAGGGTCCCTGCTGATACAGTGGCACAGGTTGAGGCTCTAACCCAAGGAGCTGCCTAAGCCCCTCCACTGACTGCAGCCATGCGGGTACACTAGGACATGCAGCCACGGCAAGGCTGGGAGCCCGCATGGAGCAGGCTGAGCCTCGAGGCACCCCTTGTCCCATTACTCGAGGCACCGTGTCCCTCCAGAGATGCAGAGCAAGGCTCAGACACAGCCGCGTCCCTGCGTCATGGTCCTTCCCTGCACCCTGCAATGTCCAAACCAGTCCGTGGTCCCCAACAGAGCCTAGCGCCCAACACAGCCACAGTTGCAAACACCCCCTGGTTGTCCCCCCGGTGCTGCCCGGGAGGTCCCCAAGCCCATTACTCGAGGCACCGTGTCCCTCCAGAGATGCAGAGCAAGGCTCAGACACAGCCGCGTCCCTGCGTCATGGTCCTTCCCTGCACCCTGCAATGTCCAAACCAGTCCGTGGTCCCCAACAGAGCCTAGCGCCCAACACAGCCACAGTTGCAAACACCCCCTGGTTGTCCCCCCGGTGCTGCCCGGGAGGTCCCCAAGCCCTGGCGGCAGAAGCAGCCCCCCCCCCGCCACCTAGGCGGCCGACCACCCCCCCCCCCGCCATCCCCCACACACACTGTACTCACTGTTCTGGCAGTGCACCCCATCATACCCCGCAGGGCACTTGCAGATGTAGTCAGTGAAGACATCCCCCCGGTTCGGGACCAGCTGGCACTCGCCATTGTTGTGGCAAGGATTGGGGTGGCAGGGGCCTGGGGAAGGGGAAAGGGGGGAAAATGACTTTAATATGGGCACAGGTGGAGAATAAGAGCATCCAGTGGGCTGTTGCTGCCCGAAGACATTGCATTCCCCCCAGGTGATGGAGGTCACCGCATCCCTGCTTGGATCTCCGCTCTATGTGCCCATCAGCAGGGCTGGACCCCAGGGCCAGCGGCGCAGGGCCACGATGAGGGCACGCTGCCACGCTGCAAGGTTCCTGGACTTCATGGGGCCGCCGTGATGGGGTCAGCACCTCACCTTTCTCCGTCTCATTGCAGTCAATCCCAACATAGCCCTCAGGGCAGATGCAGAAGAAGGGGGTCTCATTAATCCCGGTCAGGCAGGTGCCCCCATTCTGACAGTGGTTCACATCGCAGAAGTCACCTGGAAGCAAAGCCACATGTCACTGCAAGCCATCCCTAAGGCGGGCATCCGCCAGAGCCCCGCAGATGCACATGGATGCATCCTGGCTTAATGGCAGGAACTGCTCCCGTGCAGATGCCACAGGGAGGGGAGCACCCGGCAGGGACCAGCTGCTGGATCCTGCACGAGACCGACAGGTCCGTCAACCATCAAGGGCGATGGTTGAGACCAGGAGCATGAGAGAGCGGCCAGGACCTGCCCTGCCCTGGCACATTAATAAAGGGGTTTAACAGAGCTTGTACATCAAACCGAAGCCAGGGGAAACCCAGGTCTTCGGTGCATCAAATGTTTCCGCTGCTCAGCTGGGAAGCGGGGGTGGCCAGGCTGGGACTCGCTCAGGCACAAGCAGGACAGGATTATTCAAGGGAATGGGGCTGGTCCCACGGCTGGGTTTTGCTAATTAAAGTTAGTACTCATAAGATCAAAAAAAAAAATCATTGTAGAGGGAGTCCACACACCTCGGCTCCCAGATGCTGGAGACATGCAAGGAGGGAGCACAGGGTCCATTCCTGCACGATACCTGTCGGAACTCCATTCACTCCAAGCACTCTCCGAGCAGCTCACACCAGGCAGCCCCAGCCCACAAGCAGGTCCCCCTGAGGAACTGGTGGGGCTGCACCGTCCTCTCTGTCTGTCCATCCACCTCCAGCATCTCCCATGGTATTGGGTTTACGTGGCGAGGTGGTGGTAGCTGGGGGGGCGGCAGGGGTGGCTTCTGCGAGAAGACACCAGGAGCTGCCCCCAGGTTGGGGACAGCCAGTCCCAGACAACTCCAAAACAGACCCATCACTGCCCAAAGCTGAGCCCATCACTGACACTGGTGTCACCTCTGTGATAATATACGTAAGATAAGGTAAAAAACGCTGCACAGCAGCTGTGAGAGAGGAATGAGAAAAATGTGAGAGAAACAGCCCTGCAGACAACCCGGGCAGAGAAGAAGGAGGGGGAGAAGATGCTCCAAGTGCCAGAGAAGGGATTCCCTTGCAGCCCACAGTGAATACCACGGTGAAGCAGGTTGTCCCCATACAGCCCGTGGAGGACCACAGCGGAGCAGATATCCACGCTGCAGCCCATGGAGGACTCCATGCTGGAGCAGTCTGTTCCTGATGGGCTGTACCCCATGGAAAGGACCCACACTGGAGCAGTTCATGAAGAACTGCAGCTCATGGGAAGGACCCACGCTGGAGCTTTTTCATCTTCTTTTCTCAGGAGGGAGCACAGGGTCCATTCCTGCACGATACCTGTCGGAACTCCATTCACTCCAAGCACTCTCCGAGCAGCTCACACCAGGCAGCCCCAGCCCACAAGCAGGTCCCCCTGAGGAACTGGTGGGGCTGCACCGTCCTCTCTGTCTGTCCATCCACCTCCAGCATCTCCCATGGTATTGGGTTTACGTGGCGAGGTGGTGGTAGCTGGGGGGACTGCAGGGGTGGCTTCTGCGAGAAGACACCAGGAGCTGCCCCCAGGTTGGGGACAGCCAGTCCCAGACAACTCCAAAACAGACCCATCACTGCCCAAAGCTGAGCCCATCACTGACACTGGTGTCACCTCTGTGATAATATACGTAAGATAAGGTAAAAAACGCTGCACAGCAGCTGTGAGAGAGGAATGAGAAAAATGTGAGAGAAACAGCCCTGCAGACAACCCGGGCAGAGAAGAAGGAGGGGGAGAAGATGCTCCAAGTGCCAGAGAAGGGATTCCCTTGCAGCCCACAGTGAATACCACGGTGAAGCAGGTTGTCCCCATACAGCCCGTGGAGGACCACAGCGGAGCAGATATCCACGCTGCAGCCCATGGAGGACTCCACTCTGGAGCAGTCTGTTCCTGATGGGCTGTACCCCATGGAAAGGACCCACACTGGAGCAGCTTGAAGAACTGCAGCTCATGGGAAGGACCCACGCTGGAGCTTTTTCATCTTCTTTTCTCTTCCCTGTCCTGCTGAGGAGGGGGAGTGAGAGAGCGGCTGGGTGGGCACCTGGCAGCCAGCTGAGGTCAACCCACCACACCCATCAACCTTCTGCTCCCTATTGCAGTGCTGAATCAGATTGCAAGAGCCGGGCTGAAATTCCTCCCACCCTCAGTTTATTCTGCCCCAAGAGCTGCAAGACGACAACACTCTCCATAAACCTAGACCAGATTCCCACAGATCTGGCTGAAAGCCTCAATAAGTCCTCGCGAAGCGCTGGGACAGCACATCCCCTGATGCCAGGCTCTTCTCTGCCACGCTGCAGGAGTCAGAGCAAGGGCTGAACTCAGGTGGAGACCCAGGAATAACCCCCCACTACCTGCATGCCCTGGAGAAGGTGGAAGTTAATGAGCTGTGGGCCCGCTGCCCGGATCCACACCGAACAGCACGGCTCTCATTAGCCTAAGCTACTACTCAGAGAGCTCCTACTCATCAGTCTTTTAATAGCAAAGCTCCTTTGAGTTAATCCTACTCTTCCTGACACTCCACATGTGTAAGGTACACAGTGGTGGCAGACAGGCCAGCGTTACGTGAAGGTTTCTGAAAAGATGCTGTAGCTCCCTTAGTCCAGCCTCAGGAGGCAGAAAAACTTGGGCACCGGTTCAAGTCACTGCCTGCGCTGCCCAGCCTGTTCTGCATGACCTCATGCTCCATCAATGTGCTGCCATGAGCTACAGCATGGGAGGAGAGAGAGCTCGTGCTGATATGTGGGGATGCCTTTGCCCCACACCCCTCCGCAGGTCTCGGGCACATCCAGCAGCCCCATCCCGAGGATCTCTCCCGGCAGCCGGCCAAGGCCCTGCAGACAGAGCTGTTTCTGTTCAGCAGCAGGAGCCGGCTGCTTCCCCAGGCACGGAACGCCAACAAACGTGTGCTCCCCGGCATCTGCGCTGCCTCCGACGCAGGAGTTTCTGGGGTGGGACACAGCGGCAAAGGAGCAAGGGCTCCTCTCAGGGTCGGGACAGGAGGGGTCCCAGTTATATACTTTAATTATCCCAAGTAACTGGAATCTCTTTTATCCCCTCCCAGGAATAATCCCTTACACGGTGGGTCTCGCTAGCCAGCCCCCTGCCTAGCAGCAAGGCACACGGGTCACATTTTCCACTGTGGCAAGTAGTTTTGGATGCTCCTATTTCTCAGCTGTTTCATGCCTGGTTTCGGAGCAGTTCAGCATCTCCATCCTCCCCACACACATTTTTCTCCGGTCAGGGACAGAGCTGTCACAGGCTGGACAGTCAGGAACCAAGGCAACAAAGATCAGCCACCACTTTTGGAAATGTTTGCTTATATGAACCCACAGGCTGGCTGGAAGGCAAAAATAACATCCTCCAAAAACTGGGACGGCTCATCCCAGCAGGGTTGGGGGAGGTCAGGTCAAGCCTGTCTCGGGAGGGCAAAACGAGCACCTCTCCCCAGGGAGAGCGAGCACAAACAGGGCCTTCCTCAAAGCACACCTTCCTGCTGCCCTTTGCCCCCTGGCCTGGAGCCTGTGCTTGGGTTTTGCTTCCCTTTTCCCTGGTCTCGCCCGTACCTTTCGGAGTCACCCACCCCAGGCGTGACCCACAGGGTGACGATGGAGCTGCTTCTCCCCGGGGTTCCCCTGGCCAGGCCAGCCAGGCGTGCTGTGCCAGGCGGTCCCAGGCAAGCTGTTTACATCGCGGGTACGGTTATCTAAGCCTGAAAACACAGGACAGCTCGACTGCGCTATTCCCGGCTCGGAAGCAAGGACGGGGCTGCGGACCTGAACTCCTCTGCTCCTGCAGCGGCAGCCCCGGGGGCTGCGGACCCTCTCACTCGCCACCCCTGCACCGCGCACACGGCAGCCCGGACCCTCTCACCCTGCACCCCAGATCCTCTCGCTCTGCACCTCGGGCTCCCCTGCACCCTGGATCCCCTGCACACCGGACAACCCTGCACCCTGGATCCCCAGCACTCTGGATCCCTTGCGCTCCGGATCCCCAGCACCCCGGGCTCCCTGGCACCCTGGATCACTTGCACGCCGGACAACCCTGCACGCCGGATCCCCTGCACCCCGGCTCCCCGACACCCCGGGCTCCCTGGCACCCCTGATCCCCGGCACCCTGGCACTCACCGGCGCGGGGGGTGCCGGCAGCAAGAGGGGTGCAGACAGCAGAGGGGGGGTGCAGGCGGCAAGGGGGGTACCCCAGCCACCCTGGGGTGCAGGGTGCAGGTAGGTGGCAAGAGGGCAAGAGACGGGGTTGGAAGACTGGCCTGGCAGCCGAAGATGCTTAATTAGCGGCCTGGAAGCGAGGGCAGTGCACTGATGATGCTCTGGGTGCAGGGGGGGGGGGTGCAGGCGGCAAGGACCCCAGCCA